GGCTGTCTGTAATGCCCATATTTTTTGTGACCACTACTCAATGAGAATGGCCAACTTTTCATTTTATCAACCTGTGGCTTGACTGTTTGACATTTTTTGAAAAAAAATGGTATTTCTAATGTTTACAAATTGCTCTCAAAACACATGAAGACTTCAGCCAAAAAATTGAATGTTGGAGAATAGATCACAGCTCTTGAGTCTTCCATTTTTAGGTATAAACGGACATTTGCTTCCACAGAATTTGAAAAGCCCTATTTTACCATTTTAAAAAGGAGAGAATGAGAAGAGAATTCATTTCCCTGCACTTTGCTTCCATGCCTAGAAGTACATGTTGATCCACACGTTGGCCTAACTGTATGTAAATTTTTTTTTTAATTATTGTTGGCTCCAGGGTTCAGCATACAATGCCCAGCTACTGTAAATCTACCAGTCAGTGCTGGCTTAGACTGTTACACCTACGTCCTGCCCAACCCAACTTACTCCAACACTGTTGGGGCAGTGACCCTGGGCTATCGGCTTATTGGTGGTGGGGCAACAAGTCGCGAGTTCTATACCACTTTGCCCTTCTCTGGGAGTTTCCAATACCGGGCGGTGGATTCCGCTGGCAACCTGGCAGAGTGTACATTCACCCTGACCATAACCCCAGGAGTAGTAGTAGGTAGGTGATTGCCTTTCGCTTCTTTTCTTTCGTTTAACTTTGTAAGAGAAAATGCATTCTTGTGCGGATGGGCATGTCAGTCTTGAACAAGAGGTCCACGTAGGGAGTCAAGACCATGTTTTGACTTTCTCATCTCCAAACATAGTTTCTGCCCGTCAGTTGCAAAGTAAATTGGAATATTTGAGGAAATTGTTATCCAAACATTTCAGTTTTTGATATTTTTTTTTACGATTGCCATTACATTGCCGTCACTGGCACTTCCTCTGGAAGGCCTACATGTACAATTAATGTTTGCTTCTTTGACTTCTTCACAGATCCATGCTCATCTAATCCGTGCCTCAATGGAGGGACATGTTCAGCCTCGGGTAACACATTCACCTGTACATGTCCTAGCGGGTTCACTGGAGTTACTTGCAATGTTCCCATCACAGGTAAATGGAGCAAGAAAAGCTTCCTGAAAGCTAAACTAGGGAGGGATCTCAATCAGAAGGTCATGTCTACCTTGGTTGATACATGTACATCTGAAGCTGGAGCCCCCTGAGAAGTATTTCTGTGTCTGATTGCCTGCCTCTCAAAAATAGGGTCGATAGGATGGAATAAAGAATTTTTGGTCAAATAATAAAAATGGTAAAATATTAGGGTCATGCTGAAAACTTAAGGTCAGTCAGGAAAACGGAACAGAACTTTGGGGGGGCGCATGGCCATCCAGGATGAAATCTGATGCCTCTTTGTTGGCCTACTTTGTGTGGAAGCAAGGGAAAATGTGGTTAATTCAGCAGAGCTTTAGCTGTAAAATAGTAAGATATTTGTAACTGGAAAATCTCCTGCATAAACTAATGCCCTCATTGGTGTGGTGGGAACCAGTGCAGCATTGCTTCAACAAAACTGTTGCCCTCAAGTGTACAAATTTCTGCTTGTTTCATCTTTACCATTGAGTATGACTCCTCCTTTTTCTGTTGCCAATATGTTGCAATCAGTGGCACATCTTCTGGAAGGCATACATGTACAAATATTTTTTTTCACAGTACACAGTGCGTGTGTGAGATACAAGATTTCATCTGTGCACGTTGTTATCTGAGGGAATGGTTTCCAAATGGACTGAAGCTTTCATGTTTCCTGCTTTGACTTTATCACAGGCCCATGCTCATCTAATCCGTGCGTCAACGGAGGGACATGTTCAGCCTCGGGTAACACATTCACCTGTACATGTCCTAGCGGGTTCACTGGAGTTACTTGCAATGTTCCCTCCACAGGTAAATATTATTTGCTACACATGTGGCCTAGTCATTCTATCATTCAGCATGCATGTAGTTATTTTTTTCTTTCTGAGGAACAACTCGTGCATTTGTGTTCAGGGGGGGACGAGGAGGGGACAAGTGCCCTGGAATAATGGGCAATTGCAAATCCCCCCCCCCCGGAAAACAAAAGAAAAAGGGTAAGAAGAGGAAAGGAGATGAAAATTGTTAGTTTCCTTGAAAATGTCTTTACACATGACATTTCTCCTCTGCTAATGGTTTGTCAGTCTTCTTACTGTTAAATGCACCCCAGGCCCTCAGAAAGAAATAAATTTCTGCCTCATGCTGATACACTTGAAATCATGGTTGTTATTGTTTAATTCTTCTACCACATTATTTTCATGCATGTTGCTACCATCTAAAGAATCCTGAACTGCAAGCTAAACTAGGGAGGGATCTCAATCATAAGGTCACATCTACCTTGGTTTATACATCTGGAGCTGGAGCCCCCCAAAAAGTAGTTCTGTTTCCTATTACATGCCTCTCAAAAATAGGGTTGGTAGGATGGAATAGAGCATTTGTTGGTCAATTTTCTTGTGCTGATTGAAGGGGGACAAAAGCTACCAAAAATTCCTTCAAAAAGTGCTAAGAACTTGCATTAATCAATGTAAAAGTACTTAAGAATAGACACTTCACATCATTGTACAACGCTCATGAAGTATTCATGACGATAAACCTTGTTCTGTGGCAGGAACTTACAAACTAAAATTATATTCATAAACTCAGAAAATGTACACATAGATAAGAAATCAAGTTCTTTCATTTAACTTGCAGAAATGTTCTTGAAACATCAATACATTTTGACGTGCATCTGTAGAGTTGCGTGAGTGTATGGTGTAGTGTAATGACACTATTTTAATCAGGATGCATGGACTGGTTGCCGCATTTCCATCATGCTTTCTTTGGCAGTGGTGTGGTGGGAACCAGTGCAGCATTGGTTCAGTGAATTGAGCATTATAGCGCACGTGTTTTCACCACCGCGATAGTGAACCACAAAGGCAACTTGTGAAGTTTCTTTTAGAAAGTTTCGACAAACATACATTGGTTTATTTTCTGGTTTTCTGACATATAGGCTTTTACCAAGTTGGTCTTTTTTACCCTGTACAAGGTTGAACTCAGTATCCTGGTATGGTGTGTGTATCTTCCTTTGAAAAGGGGAATGATGGCGTATATGCCCCAAGTAGGAAGTGCAAAATGTTTAAAACTTGTTGAGTGTACATTTTCTACTGTACATAAGGCCAGTTAATGATTTGGTTAAGTACACATTTAAACCCCAGCATGGTAGACT